GAAATCCATTCATGCAGGTCTTGGAGGTGTTCGCGATGCTGGAAGCGCGCTGCGTCGCAGGGTGCATGGCAACGTGCATCGTCCTCTGTTCCGCCCTGAGCCTCTCGAGCACGAGGGAGAGATGATGTCCATCGGGCTCGTCTGCGCTTGGACAGTGTCGCTCCGACAGACCACACCTCGTCCACAATCACAGCAGCTTCACTTGCTTGCTCCTGGCTTGTCCAAGTAGCACTCTTGCCAAAGGCAGACTCGCAGGGATCTGACAGATCCTGCGGAAGTGCAGGTCTGACCCGAGGATGGGGATGGAGTGCACGCTTGGCACCGCATGCGCCCTTACACCGAAGAGGCTGAATGCCACGATCCGCTCTCCACTTATCTCCAGCAGCAATGCCAGCGATCTCGAATAATGCAGCATGCAGTCGCAAGGGGTGACGTTCTTAGCCGTCTTGGTTGCTTGTGCTTCCGAACGGCACGTATCTTGTGTGAAGGGTCTGAGCAGGTGGGCGTTTGAAAGGGTGTTGCAGTTGATGTCGAGCCCGTTGGCTGTGCGGTGAGGTCGGGCAGTGTCCAAACCTAAGAACAGAACCCCAATGATGCTCGTCGTTGTGACGATTTATACACTTGCTGGCCTTCCCAGGTGGTCTCCGAACAGACTGTACCGCTCAGTGCAGCAGGGACTGTTCGGAGTTTTGCCGTCACTCTGTTGCAGGAGCCGGCTTGCACAAAGGTGAGAGAGGGTTCATCCTGCCGTGCTCCGCCCAGGACCCTCCTGTGCGAAATGCTGTAAACACAGTCCACACGGCAGCTATGTTCGATCTCGACATCGCGGCTCCGCAGAGGGCCTCCGGGCATGTAGTCGATCAAAGATGACACCTCCCGAGATGGCCCGTTCTTGGATTTCAGTAGCAGCTGACATCTTGGACCTCTCTGCACCTCAATGGCTTTGAAAGACTCTGGCAAAAACGTTTTGCACAGCAGATTCACTTGTTCTCCCTGTCACGGATCCACCCCTCATGTTCTTCGCACCGTAGAACTGAGGGCCTAGTGGTTTAAAGCCAGCAGAAAATGGTGGTCACAACATCGTCTGGCCGATTAGCCATCTCATACATAAGTGTACTGTGCTTTGAGCCTTGCTTCGACATTGTGCCTCTGCGGCGCCGTACACGTGGGTCCGAGCGCCTATTTCCGAGCTTTACCAGCTTAGGACCACCCCTGCGGACAAGCACAGACTGGCGCAGGAATCGATTTATTCGGCAAGTTGTTTGACCTGCAGGCTCTTCATAACTTCCAAAGGTGTGATTAGCGAGTGAAGGATGTAAGGGACATGCGAAGGCACACTTGATTAAACAGGTGCCTGCCTGGAATGCCGGAATACCGCAGCTTGCGTTGAACTAGTTTCTTGACTGCCTGGAAGCTTTAAAGCTTTAAGCGATGTGATGCTCCCGCATGGCAAACGTGAGGTCAAGCCTGTCTACCGTGGGAGTTGCGCTGCGAGATGCCAGGCTCTGTTCGGTTCGCATCGCAAGTGCTCAGGATGTGCTCCTTCACTCCCAAGCACGTGGCATGCTCGCAGCAGCTCCCAATTCCGGCAGGATTCTCTCGCTGCTTTCGGCTTTGCCTGGGTTTTAGGGCTTGGCGGTTGCAGCCCGGCAGAGCTTCGAGCCTTCATGGAATGCCACCTCCGTTAGCCCGAGAGAGACGGCCTGCTCTTGGCACCGGACCCGACCCGTAAGCCCTGGATCAAGCGGGGCCCCTTGATCATCATCGTAAGCCCAGGAAAGATGCGCTTAAGAGTTGCCCTGCAGTAGGCTCCGGCTCCACCGCATGGCTTCAGCAGGGGGTGTCGAATATCCCATGCCTGGACCATGTCGTTCATGCTCAAATTTGCGCCTGAAGTCTCGGATTGCATGGACCGACTCGGCATGGATGTGAATGGAGAGCAGGAGTCCCAGGATCCGAAGCCCAGGCGTGGAAACCATTCTTTTTTGCAGGACGCCAGGGGGACCAGGGCTCGAACACGTTTTCTGCATCGCTGGCTCCTCGAAGAAAACTTTAGCATGTAGTTCGATTGCGGACGAGCAGTTCCCCGTTTCTCGGCTTGAAACTTTTGGCACAAGAGGCGCTGACTTCTGCGGCTCGACCATCTAGCCTAGGGCAGGGCGCAAACAGAATGCGCTGAGTGTTTCCAGGGCGCGTCTCGTCTTCCTTGTTGATCATGTTAAGCTGGCCCATACATGAAAGTCAGTTTCCTGGGTTTTTTGGTGACAGTAGCAGCATTCATCACGTAAGAAGTTCACGTTCACGGCTTTGTTTGCTGTCTCAGACGCATAGGATGTGCTCGTCATCCCCTCCCGGGTGCCTCAGCCAGTGCTTCCCTTCCATGCCGCGCAGCGGTGCTAGTCATCCACCTTGCCCGGTCGCCTGTGCTTGAACTGCCCCGCAGGCCAAGTTTTCAAGGGCGTGCCTCGTGGCCTGTAGGAACTTGCAGAAGTTGCCTGTAAGAGTGCTCCTGGCAACCACGACAACCATTTCGCTGCAGGAGCACGACTCCTGCAGGCACCGCGCCACACCCTGGCGGAAAAACTGGTTCTCTTCGCTCTGACAGGCACTGTCTTGAAGCTTACCTTAGGAGGCGACGCCGCCAGTCCACAAGTCGTCGGGTGCAGGTGGTTCCGGAGGTCTTCCTGCTTCTTTCAACGGCACTCCTTCACCAGGTGCTTCATCAGGAACGAAGTCAGGTGATGGTTCCTCAAGGAGTCTACCATCCCCTTCTTCTTCTTCCCCTGGCACAGAGAGTTTCTTACTTGTCTTTGGGGCTGTAGATTCCTCCTTCGCAGCCTGCTTGTCTCGTATCCATGAAACCCTCGAAATTCATTCCTTCACGTCTCGGAAGTGTTCGCGATGCGGGCAGCATCTTGCCAAGCGCCGATCGTTCTCGTCGGATGGTTTCTCGCGTCTTCCGTTCTGCCGTGAGCCTTTTGCACACGAAGGAGAAGTGATGTCGATGGGTTGGGTCCCAATTGGACTGCAGCGTCGCTCCGATAGACGACACCTCATGCCCAAACCACAGCAGCTTCCTATGTGGCTTCGTGCCGTGCGTCCAGGAGGCTTGTAGCACTCGCGCCTGCAAAGGTGGAGGCTTTCAGATCAGCCCGAAATCTTGCGGCAGTGGAGATTTCGCCTTTCCGGCAGACCAGTTGCTGGGCACGACGGGGGATCAGGCGGCGCTCTTTCTGTGACTCGGGGTGTTGTGAATGGCTTCGCGATTTGTCTGCAGGGGTTCAGGCTGGCTGGTGGTTCTGCATGCAGCAGCTATGTCCAAAAGCCTCAACCCCAAACCCGATGAGCCCCAAAACCCGAAGTCTCAAAGCACTGTTTGTCTGCTGCTGGTACCGAGACAAGGCAGAAGGGGAGTTGTAGCACCCCGCGGGCGCTTTCCGTCGGCCCCACGAGTTTCTCGACGCAAGTTAGCTGGGCATTGAGGCAAGAGAACCCGCCGGCCGTCGACATCGACGTTATACCTGCGACGGTCAGACGAGGTCGGTAACATGAAGTCGCAATCGTACTGTACAGAAGGTGTCATATGTTTAGGGTTTAGGGTTCTAGAGCAGTGTTGGTGCCCCAGCCAAGCTCTAAGTTGTCACGACAGCCCCAAGCCGGTTTGCATGCCTGACATTCCTGGCCGGATCCGAATTGACCGTCATAGCAGGGTGCAAGGTTCAGGGTTTCGAACCTCGTCTCTCGTGGCCTCCGGTCTGCCAGGGGCACTTGATCAGCAGCTGGTGTCATGTTCGAGTCGTCCTGCTCCCATGGAAGCAAGCGGCCTCGCCTGATGAGGACCTGGAACAGGCGCCAACTTTCTGGTGGAATCGGCAGGAGGCCGATTCCATGTGGCTGGAACATCGGGTGCCCGTTGCATCAACACTTCCGGCAAGCCGTCTCTGCTGCCTGGATGTTGTGCAACCCGAGTGCATGGATATGGGATGTCAGAAGTCAGCCAGGGGGAGAGATGTACAGGTACAGTTGAGATGCTGACCTCGTTTTGATGATGCGAGACAGACCCGCATGGCGGTACTCCCTTCTGGGGTGAGCACAACGGCTTAATCCTAAATCTGATAACACCTAACCGAAAGACTCACGCTGGCCTGCACACAGCAGCTCTCGGTCGGCAGATGGCGACGATCCCAAGAGTGCCTGTCAGCATCGGGGGGCTCAGCCGCAGAGGGCAGGGCGCTCTCGCAGAAACTCTCATCGAGGTACCAAAGTCTTTCACCTCAGTGCGGTCATCGAAGGAAGCAATTTCTTGTCAGTAGATCCGGCCAGCGCCTCTTGGTCAATAGTCCTAGCACTGTCAGCTTTTCTATTGGCTTTGGCAAGGTGTCCCTTCCCACACTAAAGAGTTGTTCGCAAAAGGGAAGAGGAATGCAAGCTCGCGACTTCCGTGCCGAGTCTTCACACAGGTACCTTTCCATGAATGGTAGAGAATATCGTGCCCTCAACGAGGACCGACAGCGGATTTTGTAGGCTACTGCGCACAAGAAAGTCTGAAGGTTCGACGATGTCCTACTCATGCACGGGTTTTACACGGCATTTCAGCCGTAATTAGTCCGCGCACGGTGCCAGGCATGTCTCTTGTACTTCGGCGCCTAGCGACTAAGTGCCCCTAAATCTCTCTGGGTCAATGACTGCAACTCCGATTCGAATGATGCCCTGGGCCGGAGGGAATCTCGGCCACCTGATACTGTGAGAAGTTTCGCATCACTTTGCCGGGATTGCAGAAAAAAGCTGGGGGGGGGGGGGGGGGNNGGTGAGAGCGTCCAGCCAAGTATGTCCTCTTCTGCTCAGTTTTTTGAGACCCTTCGCCTATGCTTTGGTAAACACAGCTGTGCACTGGACACCAACCCAACTCCAGGGTATCAGTCTATTGTATTTCAATCATCTCTTGCGAAGCCAGAGCTTCGAGCAATGACAGGGTCAAGGACTCGGGTAATTCCAGCGACATGCCACGTGCTTTTCGCAGAGGTGGGTGTGCCCGTCAGTCGGGCGATGCGATCATGTGCTTGCTAAGCTCTGGTGGCCACCTAGCTGTTTGGGATCAAGCGCTTTGTGAGCCATATCGTCTGGCTGACTGAATCCAGGTTTGGTGAGCTCCTGTCTTCAGATGCTTGTGTAAGTGTGCACTATGTAGTTTCCTGTTGGGTGCTTGCTGCGAGGTTGTGAAACATGGAAGGCGGTGCACATCTGTCTATGGCCATCGACAAAGCTGCTCACCTAGATTCAGTTGCAAAGCACGGGTAATTGCAATCATCCCAGTAACGGTACCAGGGACGGGGACGGGAGGAGCAGC